GCACATGCACACATTATATTCAGCGGGCATCAAGGGGGAAGGGGGTGTATGGTGCTCAAAGCAATCGGACCGCGGTGTGGACAACGATGACAACTGAAGATGATTGAAGCTGCAGGGGTCTGGAATACAAGTTGGGGGACTCATGTCGGATGCTTCGTGGTCAAAGGACCGAGTAGTGTTGAGTTGCTGCACGCCGTCAATTTCGATGCTGCTGTTGATGGAGGAGAAGTCGGCTTGGGGTTTGAAGAATGGACTGAACAAAATTCTATGTTTGATAATGCCCCGCCTTGAGATGCAGAGGTATGGCATAAATGCATGTCCCAGAACACATTCACAAAATACACAATGAACTTGAAAGTTTTATTATTTTATTCCAAGACTTAAATCCCGATTTGTTAGAAATGAACGCACATGAGTGATATAAAAATATTAATCCTCAGTTAAGAAATATTAAAAGTAAACATTTTACATGTTTCTAGTATGTTGAAGATAACCATTCGTTTTAGGTTATTTCAAAATGTGTATAAATCAAATTGAAATTTCCTGGTGATTATCATGGTTGCTCACGGATTTTTTAAGAAGAAGAAGAGAATAAATTTGAGCGCAATTCTGTCATCCTTGAGGCCTGTAAAATTTTCAGCTCCACTCCGGTGCAATCCTTACCAATCATTACTTATTTAATTGGTTGATAATTTACTGAGCTAGTTGAGCTCAAACTCTCCAAGGCTTTTATTTTTGAAGCTGAAAATAAAATAGTTAAGGAACAAATTATATTTTTAAAATTAGAAATTTATTATAAATCTTTGGAGAATCTTATCCTCCATTCAAACTGAAAAATGGGTAAGCTAAAAATTACTAACAATGACATAATATTATAAATAAAAAGTAGGCTGATAAAAATGGGTAAGCTAAAAATTACTAACAATGACATACCGGTAATATTATAAATAAAAAGTAGGCTGATAAAAATGGGTAAGCTAAAAATTACTAACAATGACATAATATTATAAATAAAAAGTAGGCTGATAAAAATGGGTAAGCTAAAAATTACTAACAATGACATAATATTATAAATAAAAAGTAGGTGATGTAATGTTATATTTAATGTTTTATGAATGCCAATCCTGGGGGAAAAAATGAATTTTTAAAACTAAAATAATTAATTTAACGTAACACTACTCACTACTCATTCCATCGAAGGAGCCGTGGTAACTAGGCAAATTGTCTATAACTAAAATATGGCTTTTAATTAAATAAACTTAAAGAATAAAGAATGAAAATGATAAACAAAGGATTAGATGAGGACTTTATTAAATAATTAATTTAGGCTAGTTTTATTTTAAGGCTCAGAACACTTTATTAAAACTTCATTGTCAGCTCAAGATAGTCATAAGTCTACAAGCGGTAGAGTAGGCGCCTATGCCTATAGTATAGTATAGACAGTACCCAAGTACTAACTTAACTAACTGGTAGTTATGGCATCTTATGTAACAATTCTCATAAGAACTTATAATTTATAATCATAAGTTATAAGCATGATAATGTTACCTTAAATGTGTGTGCCTAAGGTAGGCTAAATAATTTACTCAAATTACTGATAAAAAAAAACAAATTAATAGGGCAGGGCTGTATAATATAATTAAGAACAATTTACTTGAATTTAGCCTAGGTAGGTAGTTGGATAAAATTTTCAAATTGAACGAATTAAGAAATGAACACATCTGCAAGATAGCCCTTGTTAAATGAAGTAATAATATGTTTTCATTTTTCATGTAGCCCTTTTGGTTAAAAAGTTAAGTAGGTAGTTGGATAAAATTTTCAAATTGAACGAATTAAGAAATGAACACATCTGCAAGATAGCCCTTGTTAAATGAAGTAATAATATGTTTTCATTTTTCATGTAGCCCTTTTGGTTAAAAAGTTATGATTTTTTTTGTGAATAAAAAATCCCTTTTTTTATATAGAGATTTGTGACCACTTTTCAAAAAAAAATTACGAAAAGGCTCATAACTTTATAACAGAGTGAACAAATAATATGAAACTTTCCAGAAGTCTTTATCATCATATTATCAACATCTTTGTTTCTTTAAAAATTAAAAAAATTAAATAGAATATTTTTAAAATATTTTTTAATGTCATTAAAAAAATTCCACACAAAAAAAATTAAAAAATAATTTTAAAAAATTATGACCAAACGTAATTTATTTTACAACAGGAAATATAATAGAGGCAATTTTACAATAAAAATTATGATTTAATATGAAAGGGACCAATATCTGATAAAATATTAGTTAATATGTCTATTATTGTATAGATATTATAATAAAACCTAATATTAATCAAGATGGAACTTGATTGATTTAAGAATTATAAAATGTCTTTAGCTTTCTTATCTGTCACCTAGTGACAAATAATACTGTTTCCGGTTTTTTTACTTTCGTTTTCCGCCATTTTTTTTTTTTCCCCAGCTTTAGACACCTGTTATGGCAAAATAACAATGTTTTTGTGGTCTTAGAGACTTGAAATTTTACATGGTCATTTTTTATACAATTTTACAGGTACACCAGGTCGATTTAAAATGGGACAAGGAATAGTTTTCAAAATATTGATAAATTTAACTTGGCTGCTTTCTCACATTTTTTTTTATTTACGACATACTGATATTACTGAAAACAAAATGGATGTCGTTAAAGCTCGTTCATTAACGTAACTAGAACAGTAATTCGTTCGTTGATCCGACGTTTGTAGCGCGAAAAATTAATTTTTTAGTGAACCCTATCATCCAGCACGCCCAAAAAAGTGTCTCAAAAACCCTAAGCGTCAAAATAGCCTCATATCCAACTACCTAGCCTAGGCCATATTAAATTTCATATTTGCTTATGTATGACTTATTAATATGTTAAAGTTATCTTTTTCTGTAGACAGTTAATTAATACTTTAAATTTAAATAAATAAATATTACTTTATTTATTTAGGCCTTGTGGCCTATGTAAGTGTAAGTAAGTGGTGTCACAAATTCAAATGTATACTTTTTTAATGAGAAATTTCTATAATATAAATTATAAATTTTGAAAATTTAGTCTTAGATTATTTAGTTAGGACTATGACTTTGAGTTATTTGTCATAATAAAATAATATTTTATACATATGTAATTAGTAATATGTAAATTGTAACATTACATTGGAAGACTAATAATAATACTAATAATAAATAATTTATAAAATACAGTATTTAAAGTTTTTTTGTTTTTTTTAAAACACATTTCTACCAGACCGATAACAGGTTAAAAAAGAGCAGATATGGTTTCCATAGTGTTGAATTTTGTCTTCCCCTCTTGTTTAAATCCCGTTGCTTGCACTTCTAACAGGGAACACACTACATCTAATTCTTAGATAACTCACTGAATATTTAACACTGGTAACCCAAATATAGGTCACTCCACTCCGAGTAGGTGTGGTCAGATTATTTCAAATTATACACATAGAATTTAATCCTTTTTCGGCTGAGAGCGAAGTGTATCCCTTTCTGCACCTTTGGTTAATAATTTTACACCAGGTCACGGTTCATGGACTCGCTGCCGTTCGTTTGTTCCAGCCTCTATGTTGACTTGCAAATCAAAAAGAATCCCCCATGTGTCGGCCTGTGTTTAAGGTCGCTTGGTTATGACGTCACCGCGAAGTGGACCAAAAGTCAAAGTTATTTTTGGCCTTGACCGATCAAAGGGATGCTACTCCTGTTAAAGTACAAAATCGCTGACTTCTAAAGATTTCTTGTTTTAGACCTTGGATTTTAACATAAAATTCACGTTGTTTAATCTAAGGGCGAAAAGCGAATAATTTATAGAAAAAAAATTACTTAATTTGATTTTTAAAAAATGAACATTTCCACTTCAAGAGTGCAACTATGATACAAGAAAAATGTGATGTGGTATTTTAGCATTCACCATTGTAAGCAAGACTTCGCCGCGTACGCGTAGAGTATATTTGACTGAAAAATAAAGCATCATTATTACTTTGTTAGAGCTCAAACTCAAGTGACTGAGAAATACAGCATAGACCCCCACCCCATTTATGATAGCTGCATATGGTGAGCAACTATTAGCTCTTTACTTTTTTTTTCTCGCACTGCGCCCATTAAGACAACAACTGATTTCCATTTCCCCCCTGTCGACCACTTTTTATTTTAAGAGAACTTTCTAGGATTTTGCCCTCGATATCCTCTCAAAATTTGGGCTATCTCTCAGGATCTTCTGCCAATGTGGTTTCTCGGTGTCAGTGGACGTAGGGGAATATGTTTCGAAATCAAGAGAGGTTCCAGCGTTTCAAAAAGGCTATCCACTGAATGGCGTTTAGTACTGCAGTGTTCAGTGTTAGCAATGCAGTGCATATACGACAATGAAATTTAAAAAAAAAAATGATTTCTGCTGTGTCCTATTTATCTTATTTCATATTTTCCTGCAAGTTGTGATGCCAATAGAGGTGCCGATAAGAAGAAAAAATATAGAATTAGAATATAGGTTAACAGTAACTAAGCAATGTGTAGCAAAATTGCATGCTACGATTTATTTTACAATTACACGCTAAACTTTACAGTTAAATCTTTCCTTCCCTAGTCTTCGTGGCTGCAAACTTGTTAAAAATTATTTTAATTATAAAACAAAACATTCGTCGACATATTGCTTTTAATAGATAAAATTGCATATTCAGAAAACCTCAGTGGCATAGTGAAGGGGTGGCAGGGGCAGATGTCAAGACTAATTACGGGCACTGAGCTGGGCGTTATTGATATTTTTCGAAATGAAAATAATGGGTTTCAGATTTGAAGGGAGGTTTAAAAATAAATCTTGTCCCCAGGCTACAAAAAACAAAAAAACAGCGACAACAAACAAAAACAATCAAACAATTACAATATTTATTGTCTTCGTATGTGTCTTTAAAGTTAGTTGCATACGACGGTATTTAGCTGTGCCAAACAGGGGAAATAATGCCTATTTATTTACACCTTCCAAAATCCAACACAACCATAATAAAGCAACCATTTCTGATATGGCAGAGTCTACTTCATTACGTCTTGACGAAGAGACTGGCAGTCAAACCGTTTTGTTGGACAAAGAAGAGACAAGTGTTGGAGAGGTAATTTCTGGTCTTTAACTTAGAATTAGACAAATTTAACTTAAAATTAACTTTTAAGAGTTAAGCCAATTTTAATATTACTATAGACTATAATTTATATTTTATTTATAGTTTATAATTTATAGTATCAGTATAAAATGTACTATGTTGTTACTATTATACTTAAAACTATACTATGTACAAAAAGTATGATTTTTTGTATGTATAGTATAATTATAATAAAAATGCTGAAGTAGAAGTAAGACCTATGGAGCCTAGTCTTAGTTATTAATTAGGGCTAATTAAGGGGGCTTAAAATTAAGTCCAATTGGCACACTTCTACCCATTTTAGTCCAACAGTTAACATTTTACTTCTTTCATTTTATAGTACTTAATTATACATAACATGTTCTACACTGGCGCTAGATGTATTTTAATTTAATATTTATTTGTTACTGTTTTATTGTGTGTCGCAGTATAGGTTGTTATAATTATAACCTAAGCCTATTGTTAATGAAATGATACATGATTTTTTTTTAAAATTCAGAGCCCCCCAGTTCTTCAGTTGCGTTTGCAACAACCCAAAACTGAACCCAAAGTTAAGTGGTCGACAGACACTATTGACAATGAATTTATGGGCAAGAAAAAGTCCAAATGTAAGATTGTTTGGCTTATACTTATGATTAATATATTTTAAATTTGATTCTTGATTATATCAAGATTAAGTGAATTTATTTATTAGATAACTGTATGCAGGTTAAATATATTTATTTATTAGTTAAAAATAAATTATTCCATGTAAATAATTTAATTCCTGTTAACATTTTCAGGCTGCTGTATATATGAAAAGCCAAAAGTATTTGGTGAATCCGAATCTTCATCTTCAGATGAAGAAGATGAAGGATGTACGCCTCATTGCCGAGGTCATAAGAAAAAATGTTACAGACACCGCCCCCATGGACAGGAACCCAATAAAAATCCTAATGACCACAATGACCATGACTGCGATGGTCAGTAAATAAATGAAAGAGAAGTTAGAGAATATATGCTCTAGAAAGCTAATTACTGGTACTTAACTAGGGCATTTGGATTGGCAAAGTATTTTAATATGAATGTTCAAAACTAACTCATCTGTTTCTACATAAGCATTTTACATAAACCCAACACTAACACACAAAAAAACTACATTGCAATATTAAAGTTATTGATGATTTATATTCATCAAATGTTTGTGAAAATATTTTCCAGGGCCCAGTAGGAATCCAGAAAATGATGGCACAGACGTTTCTGTAAATCAAGTATGAGCAAGAATGACGATGAGATTAGAACTTGTGTTGTCTTGTGAATTTAGAGAACAAAGTGAGCTTTCGTTATTGTCTAGTTCCGGATATTTGATTTTATATTAAGTATTTATTTATGCCACATAATTTTGCAATTTTCTTAAATAACACTGAATAACAGAACAGTAAATAAAAAAAAAGATGGGGGAAAAAATTTGTTTTGATTTAGCTAATGGATTTGAAGAAATCACTATGAAGTTCTTGTATTAAATTGTTAAGGATATAAAGATCAAATAAATTCTGAATCAGTGAATGTCATATTATTAGAGATCCCAAAGTTACTTACTGGTTTAAACTGAATGCTTATGATTTTAAAGATTTAAAATTAAATTAATGATGACTATTCTGCATTAATGTGGTATTAACAGTCATGCTGAGATGAAATTTAAATTCGTGACTTTTGGTCGATATGTTATGTATTGATTTACTTATGCACAATGTTATATTTATAAATGTATTATACCTTTTTGAATTTTGCAAACCAAGATTTTTATGTTTAAATGTGCTCTCCGGCTTAGGGTCGGATGTGAATTTACTTTACTGTCAGTTACTGCTTGTGAAATCGCAACAGAAATGGGGCTTCTCTGTCGTTGTTTCATGAAAATGGCAATCAGCCTTTATAGATGTTTAATTCGTCCACCTGTATCAACTTGAAATTTGAAATAACACTAAAATGTTTTGATAATGGGGAATTTGCATATAGGTAATATACACTTAGAAATAAACCTTAATGAGTTTCTGGCAAATTGTGGGCTAAACAGCTGAATTCTTTTACTTTTTCACCCAGACTATAACTATAAACATCTATTTGTTGTTCAGGATAACCAGATTTATTCCTATCATAAATTACAGCCAGAATGTCAATAATAATGGTGTACAAATTCGCTTACGAAAGCCTTTAAAAATACATAATTCATTCCAGTATTTCCAGACGAACCCAAAGGAACTATTTTTGGAATGAAATCTATATAGTAGTAGTAAGTATATTTAAAATTAAAGGAAGATCATTTTTAAAAATTCAAAGCAAATAAAAAATAGTAATTAAAAATTCCAACAACAACTCACACTAAACCCCCACAAAAAAATAATAAAAAAATATCACACGACCCCCCCCCCCCCCCCAAATTTTAAAAAAATATTACTTGATGCATTCATCTTAGCAGAGTTACAAGTTACATACTATTAAAGAAAGAAATTTAGCTTCTTGAAAACCACTAATTTGGCATACTCATCAAGATTTTCCTAAAGTGTAAAGTATAATCAAATTCAGAGTTTTGGAGACCCCCTAATACTTTTTCCGCATCACAACAATGGGCCCATCAACTTTTTTGAGAAGCAACCGGGCCCGTGCAACGACTCTGATCAAGACTCAGGAAAAAATCTTTAATTTTAATAATTTTGGTAGTAGTAGGAGGTAATCCCACCAAAAAGAAAATAATTTCATCAGGAAATTTCTTATCAGATGATGTGATATTTATTTTTAACATGTTCATTCTATTGTTGTATATTTAACATTACTATGGTATTTCAGAGTCATTCACGCTACGTAATTATTTTGTGAGAACTTAATTTTAACAATACATTTTGCCCATAATTATTTCAGCATGCATATCTCATGAATATTATGTGGTAGTATAATTGTCTTGGTTAAAATGATTTTAGGAATATAATTGTCAAAGTTAATTAAAAACATTTTGTAAATATTTTTTGCCTTTAATTTTTCTTTTAAGTTTTAGTATAGTAAAATATTTCTCATGTGTTATAAATACTCGTAGGTCAACTTGAAGTTATCATTGAGTGGATTTTTCTTGTTTGATAGAGTACATTTTTTTTCCTAATGCTGTAACATTTCAGAAGATAAATATGATTAATGCACAGAATTGAAAAAAAAAAATGTGACAATTTAAGTTAAATGGGTATTCAGCATTTGAACTTGAACGTTTATATGGGAAAGTTGTGGGAGTAAGCCACAATATTGATGTTTTTTCACATAAAATGACTAATACTGGTACCCCATTCAAGCAGTTGTTTGAGGCATCTTTCCTTAATTCTTCCTCCATGGAGTTGAGGAAAGTGGGTCTTAAATAGGGCTGGTCAGACACCAATAGGTAATGCGCATTGACATGCTCTTTATTTTGATTAAAGAGAGAGAGAATTTCGCATTTATACTACTAGCTTCAAGAATATAAACATTTACTATTAGTTGTTCAGGATAACCAGATTTATGTATATCATAAATTGCAGCCAGAATATCAATAATAATGGCGTACAAATTCAGTTAGGGAAGCCCTCACAAATACATAGTTCATTCCTGACAAACCCTAAGGAACTATTTCTGTAATGAAATCTATTTAGTTATATGGTAGTAAGTATATTAAAAATTAAGGGAAGATCAGTTTTAAAAGCTAATCTCCCCCACTCCCCCCTCTCTCGATGCATTCATCTTTGCAGAGTTACATACCATTATTGAAGTATTTTTAACTACTCGAAAATAATCAATTTGGCATCATCCTTAAGATTTTCCTTTTAATTTTAAGTGTACATAATGAAGAATCAAATCCAGAGATTTGAAGGCCACCCCCTATTCCTTTTTTTTTTTTTAAATAGCGTCTCATTTCATGTTTAACACTTTTATAAATTAATTTCATTTATCCAGATAATTTCTTATACTTTTAGCTAGGTTTTTTTGTCTTTGTTAAAAATATTTTCTTTTTAGTTCCCCAAATTTTTCAGTTTGGTCAATATTTTTTGTTATTTGCTATTTTATGTGTCTGCCATCTGGTTGCTAACCATTTTAGCAGTATAACTATAAAAAAAAACAACAACAAAATACACCACTAAATAACATTCACCCAAACAATTGACGAACAAAAAATTTGAAATTTTTTTTAGTTTACAGTCTTGGAAAATACATCAACATTGCAATATGCAAGACGATTGCAATACAATATTTTTTACCAAAATGAGGGTGGGGAAAAACACATAAGATAATAGATTTGATGAGGTATAGAGTATGAGATAAGCTTATGAAAGAAAGCGATCAGAAACTTACTAGTAACAGGATGGTGAAAATGAGTTTAAAAAAAAAATGATTTATAAAGTTGTATTTTTGGATTTGTTTAAAAAGCTCAGGAACTAATTATTACTTATCAGTGAGCCATTAGCAATATGTAACTAATGGCTTTTAACTTAAGGCTTGATAATATTAATTATATTAATAATCTCAGCTCAATAAAATATATGTAAATAAATCATTTAAACAATCTTAGCATTTCATAATACATTTTAGTGCCTCATTAATAAAGGGAAGCTACATGCCATGTGGTAGATGATTTCACAAGTTTATAATTATAATTAACAAATATGTACTATATAAGTTTATCTTGAATATATGTATCCCTCTAAAATGTATGTACCGGTATCTATAAGTATTTATATGTATATTTAAACTTTTGCATGGTGAATTGATACACTAAATAAATCAGCTTTTAATAGCCTATCAATAAAGAACTTTTTTAGTACTGAAGTAAAAGTGTAATGATAGTTATGCTAATCCTATTTTTAACTTAGTTATTCCATGTCTATTAAATTAGAAAATTAAAAAAATATCCTTATAGGATCATGGAATGTTTCAGACAAAATATATTTTAAAATTGCTACAAGCACATTGAGAATAGATAGACATAAAAAAGCATATTTTTCAAATTGAAGAATTAAAAAACAAGCGTGCATTATATATTTTTCAACCATGGAGGAAGCTTTTGATTTCTTTTAATGGCTTAAATAAAGAATGGTATGTATTCTTTTGAAAATAACTAAAACGCTTCATTACTAGTGTTCATCGACATTGTCTTGGACTTTTAAATGCATTTCAATACAACCAATTATATACCGGTACCATCACAAATACACATTTTGAAACATAATGGCCATGACCCATCTCAATACCTTCATTGTTATTTACATAAAACAGGCATTGCCCTTAAGGCACAAATATGAATTTAACATGAGCACCAAATTATGTTTCCTTTGTAACAAAAACATTTTAGGACACTCCAAAAGTTGTATCCAAAATGTAAAAACAAAAAAAAAACATATCACATAAATATACAAGTCCTTGAGTTGGTCAGTAAGTTATCTACAAGTTCTACAAGTACAAGTCATTTACAACAGTATCAGTTTCTGTCAAATCAGTCTCTGAGGCACATTAATTATTGTTTGATATAATATTACATGATTTGTTTACAACTCAAGTTTTTGGTCCAATCTGTAAGACATTCATGACAAAATTCACTGCAGACAATGGATCCTCAAAATCTTTGATATTGTCTCTTTTTAGAACCCATTGTGGATTAATCTTTCTGTGCTTTGATTTTGATGGAGTGGCAATGGGCATAGTATAATTAAATGACTTTGTTAAGGCTAGTTTGGCCTGGGTAACCTCCCTAGTTTTGTTAAGTCTCTGTTTGCGGAGGGTAAGGGCGTAGATGCTTTGAAGATTCTCTACAATCTGTGGATGTTGCAATATGATCTGGGGAATAAAAATGAAGGTATCTGTAGTTATTGTTCAAATATATCTACAAAGATCTTGTGTGCCCATGGTCTCATTGAAGTCATATAAATCTATTAGTTTCGGTACACCAGCACCATGGAGAACATACTTTTTTAAAGTAAGTTGAGTAGGGCTAATTAAAGCAGACCGAAAATATAGTTTTTTCAAATGGTATAGTTTCAAACTGAATAATTTCTTTCCTTGCAATTCATGATATCGTCATTCAATCCATGTTTTCATACTAACTAACATAGCTCAGATGACGGTTGCAACTAACCTACTCACTATTTTCTCCAAAATGAAAGTATTTTCCTAACCTGACCCTGTATAGCAGAAATATCTGTAAGCTTACCTTCTACACTGTAACAAGCTGAAGTACCATATTTATCGGCTTATAACACGCACCATTCACGCTGCTATGCAATATGTACTATGGGTCCTTAACATTATATCGGCGTATAACATGCACACATTATTTGCCCCTTATTTTCAGGGAGAAATATACCGATAAATACGGTATATTTTTACGTTAACAATGACAAACACATAAAAATATAGAAAAAAATCATACCTTTCTTCTCTCCTCTTTAAGACCCAGTATTCCTAGCAGCATGCAACTGTTGAAAAATATGGGTCCTTTCTCTCTGTATATACACAGCAATTCTAAAATTGTTGCAATACTTTCATCTGCATCCATGACAGCATCCACTGTTTTTTCATACTAAAAGATGTGGAAGTGAATATTCACTATTGAAAAGTGTTTTTGGAAAAATTTTTGATATTTTTAAGAAGAGAATACAAAAAAATACAAAAACAAAATAAGGCTCATTTCACAAGACTTTAAGAGTCTTACCTTAGCCAAGTTCAAGAGTATGGTGACAGCATACTTAATCAGCTCCATATGAGGCACGCTGCGATTGCAACTGTTGATAAGTCTGTACAGAATTCTTACAGCATTGCCTTTCACCATCATCTCACAACACACTGGGGAAAGTCTCGTTGAAACCTCTGATAAAATACAAGAACTTATCTTTCACAATTAATTGGGATCTCTGTAAATTTAGGCCTAGTCTAGTCATTCAATAAATTGTCATTTTTCAAAAATATATTCAATATTTATAACAGTTAATTTCAAAAAGAACAAAGTTAAGTAAAGTAAAAAGTATCTGTATCCAGCTTGTACTAAGGCCTCACTACAGAAAGGTAAGGGATATTTTTCAAAGTACCACAGGATATTTTCAAGTTTAATGCTAAGTCTAACATTTTAAGTTCTTTACAAAACAAATAAATAGCGCATACACACCTAAATGTGAAAGTGCTTCTAAAATGTAAGCCAGGTCCCTTTCACGCAGAAGCTGATCAAGTGCAAAGGTTGTTCTAAAGCCGAGGGTGTTCTTTGATGAAGTAGACTGATTAGCCACCTGCAATCGTTTCCGTGCCTGAGCAAGTTTCTTGTTTTTTGAGTCTCTACGAGTTACAAAGCCTCTCCACAAGGACTAGATCAATTGAAAAGTTCCTTTATTTATTTTCCTTACAAAACCATCCACATGATTAGTTATGAATTAGAAACAAATAACAGTGTCTTCATGGTCATAGTTTTTTCTAACACAAATTTGTATCATTAAAAATCTAATAACTATTGCATTGGTCTAAAAAAATGGGGTGCACATATAATTTGTATTCAAATGAGGATAATTAAAAATTACACTTATGCCTGGAATTATTAATAATTGATTTTTAAATTTTATTATTTAATTACACAGCCCTTTTAACCTTCTGTACCAAACATTTTATGCCAAAGTGTGTTGAAAAATGGTATAACAGAAATGGGTGCTGTCATACTTTCTAGTTTTTCTAACTAAAAAAAATTGTAAAACAAATAAAAAAAAAAAAAAAAAAAAATAAAAAAAAA